CAAACTGAATGGAATTGAATTCCTTTGGGAGAGGGATAGTAGACTGCTGAATTACAATCTCACCAAAAGCATAGATTAGCAAAGGGTATGATAGAGAAGAATAAGATCAGCTATCAAAATAAATTGAGTCATGAAAGTATCACAAAAATGAATCTAAATGATCCAGTTTAATTTCTTCATATATATACGTGACATTGACTATGGTCAACTTACAAATTTGGTTGCCATCTATAGAAATTTTTTTTTCATGTTTGGAGATGAATTGTTTTTGCTTTAGCACACGTAGAATCTGCAGAGGATGATGGTTATTTACTATGTCAATCCTGCTTCATTTAAAACTACATTTTTTTCTTCCCTTCGTTATGAATGGTTGTAATCTGAATAGTAGGGGTAGATAAAATCAATATATAATTGATACATGAATATGTCACTTCAACAAATTAATGCAGTTAATATGTAAGCCTTCCAAACTAAACATTACATACCTGCTGCAGTTTTTTTTTCTTTTTTGATAAGAGTAATGGTTAGTAAGTTAGTATTATTAGATATTAGTAATTGGGGATTCGATCCTTAGATTTGGTAAACAGTCCACCGGCCTCAATGAGGTGCGCAGCCATTGGGTCGCTTGGCGAAGTTCCATACCTGCTGCAGTTGACCAAGGTATCTTTGGGAGTATTCTACTGCTGTTGGCCGTTCAGTTAGTTCTTTATATCTAAACAATCATAGAAAAATTATATAAGCAGCCACCTTGAGCATTTAAGATTTGTGATAGAAGAGGCTTAGGTTATACCCAATTCAACTTAATGAAACCTATATCCCCAGAAAGTAGGTCATACCGGAAAACTATCGGATCACCAATATATAGCTGTTCATGAATCAAGGTGTTCTTGAAACTCGTTAGCTGTAGCTTCTTCTCCATCAGTGTATAGCCATTCTTGAACCTTAATTAATACATATGCTTATGTAAAAAACCTAAAAGTAAGACCAAAAGGTGAACTACAAAAATAACATAGGAAAAGAGAAGCTAACCTCATCAAGCTTTTCCATAAAGGATTGGCGTTCATCTACAGAAGATATTTTCTCAAATTCTTCAGAGTCAAGCTGGTAAAGCAATAAAGTAATCGAGAAAAAAGTTAGAATATCAGAAATGCCTTTCTTAGAATAATTAAACAAAGAAAAGTAAACAGACTCTCTTACAAAATGTAACTAAATAAAACAACAATCTTGGGAAGCAAAAAAGAAAACAGCCACTTGAAAAGGCAGAATAATCAACAAGAATTATTAAAAATAAAATAATAAACATTTGAAAAAGATATACCAATCTAATACAATACAAAAACTAAATAAGTGAAAGCCAAAAAAAAAAAAAGGGTAAAAGACAAAACCCATTAACTCAAATGATTCAAAACTTCCATATATAAATAACATTAACTGGTAAAACTCAATAAATATGCACCTTTTTTTTGTAGCATAGATATAGCTTTCAAGATTATTTTTTAACTCTGCAGTTTTTCTCCGTTCGGCATCCTTCTTGTCCAGGACCTCCAATTTACCTTTGGCTTCAGCAAGAGACTCTTTTGATAGAGACATTCCAGGTCCTGCTGTTTTCTCCACCATCTACAATCAAAAGAAGAAATGATAAACTTGCAATAAAAATGACGATGTAAAGACAAAAAACATAACAACTGTCATTTATAAATAAGTTTTAAGGTAGCTTTTTCACACCTTCAGTGGCACTCTAAATGTTTTTTTCTTCAGCCTTTTCTCTGTACCAAGATCAACTGTGATTGGTTCTTCAACAGTAGTGTTAGTGTTAGTATTAGATGCACTGCTCACTACACTATCAGAATTTAAGCCTTCTTTATTTTCTTCTGATGCCCTTTCGGCACCAACTTCAGCAGATATGTTAGATGAAGCAATAGTTGCATTCTCTACAGATATATTCTTTCTAGGAACTTTCACCCACTCTGATATTTCAATAACAGCATTTGCTCGATCTAAAGAAATGATTCCACTTCTACAAAGTGAAAAGTGTAGGTTTGTTTTGATAGGTGCAGATAAATTGCGAGATGAATACCTAGAGAACACACAGATTGCCAAGGAAAACCATATCATGCATTATTTGCATGCTAATGAAGAAGAAAGTAACAAGTTCTTTAAAGCAATAAGACTAAAGAAATCCACATAAAATGATTACTTCTCAGATGCTTCTGCCAAACCAGACACAACATCCTGAGCAAACACAGGGGACAAAAGACCAGGTGGTAGAAGATCTTCACTTTCATAGGCAAGTGAAACTTAAAAATCTTTATAATGGACGATGGTCCTGAACATTTGTCCATAAAGAAATTAGACACCGCCAATAGCAAAACTAGAAAGGAAATGCATCCACTTTCATTTCTATCTATTTCAGATAACATCTTTTACCTTACTGGGGAGTTTCTTCATCCGTGGAACAAGTAACTGCTTGTTGCTATCGTTTTTTGAAAGATCAGGTCCATCTAATTCAATAACGAATCCATACGAAGAACCATCTGTCATTCCTAGCTTACGATTCAATTTGATTCCATCGCTTAAATTTGCAGCATGGAGGGCTGCGCCAAGAACAATTGCTTCATCAGCATCTAGGTGTTTGTCCAGCTCTTTTCTTCCAAGAAATTCCTGGAGCTTAACCTGTCATGGAAAAAGTAAGTTTATTTTCACATTTTTCTTTCATTAAATAATAGCGGTCTAGCTAAGGAACAAAAGGACAGGTGAAATTTTCTTCAGAGAGATGCGGATTCTTTTATGTAATAACCATAGCCCCAGTTAGGTGGGTTATGAGATGGTTGCGTAATGGGATGGGAGGGTTCTTTTTTATTGTACAATCTAAATTTACCAGAAAAAAAAAGAGAAAAAAACCCAAACCCATGGCCTCGTAATATGATCCAGAGTCATAGAATTTGTACCAAATGTGCACTTCTCTTCCTTCCCCTACCTCTCTCCCCCTCACATTGACCCCAAAGCCTCAAAGGCTAATTACCACAAAAGCCTTAATG